TGGCAAAGTTTCAAACCCAACGAGCAACCGTGGTTGGATCAAAGGGGTTTCTCATGATTCAAATACAGACAGACAAATACATAAATACAAACATCACAAAAAAAGCTGCAGGATAAATTAACCGAAGAAATAAACAAGCCACTCACGCCAAAATAACCGCAAGAATGGATTACCGACAATGCACCACTGACCCATATATATAAATAGTCGATAGAAAAAATCCAACACTCGCAGCCTGACGATTGCGTCTAGTATGAAACAGCCTGTTGCCTCTTAGTGTTGACTTCAATGTTTACTTTTATATTTATATTTTTTTAAATTAAATTTTGAGAGGAGTAGGCTCCTCGCATTGCGACAATCTGCATTATCAGTTATAGGAAGATCCGAGTCTGATGGTAGGAAAGCGGACGTTCTAACCACTCGGCTACACGTTTCTCTCTCTCTCTCTCTATATATATATATATATATATATATGTATGATGCGATGGATAAATTTTTCACCATTTTATATTTTTAATTTCGCGCATGCGCCTTGTTTGTTTTTGCTTTTGTCGACTGTCCAGTATAGCAAGTTCAGTTGGGCAGCTTTTGTCAGAAAAAGAGCACGGTGACGCAATTCATTCCACTATTCCACCAAATTTGGAAATGGCATGCTGTACTGCTTGGCAATCGTGCCGGAAACTCCAATACTAAAATTTAGAGGGTTTGGTTGTCAGTACGGAGAATTCAGGAAGAGCTGGATGAGTCTAATGATGATTACGAAGGTGTTTAGAGGGAAAACTAATGATGGTGACGTTATGTCTCCATTCATCTTCCCACAGGACCTGAGGACCTTGAGGACTTGAGGACGTAGTGCTGCCCTGGGTCAAGAAGCTGATTCCTGGAAAACCCTATATCTGACAAAAGAAATAAGATAAACTCTATGTGTGCCATACAAGCAGGATAAACTCAATCATGGCTGTCAGGCAATTTCTGTAACAACATCACTCCTTACATCTAGCCATCTAACTCCCCAGATTCCACCGCGCTGATTATTACGTATGGGGTGCAGCTGAGAGACCAACAAAACTCCTTGTAACACCAAAGATGAAATGAAGGCAAGAATTATGGTAGCATTCACCAACTTATACAAGGAGACCGTCCGGGAGATTTGCAGGAGGTTCTGAAGTCGTCTGGAGGCCGTGGTTGAAGCCAATGGCGATTTTATTGACATCTATCAGAGAGGTGAAATTTATTTTTTTATTATTGCATTATTCTAAAATGTTAACACATCAGCAGATAGCTATTAAGGTCAACAACTGAGCACAAATAGTTATTAATTTAAAAAATTAGTAACTAATGTATTAATATTATCCATAACTACATGTAAAAGAATGTTTTTTATATAAGTTAAAAAATAACCATAAATATGTTAAAAAAAATGCATATATTGTCAAAATTTCCTTTTTCAACAATATAGCTTTTTGTGCTATGTTATAATGCTTATTACTTAAACAATAATAATAAGAAATATTTTTGTAAAACATTAGGGTATATTTAATCACGTCTCCCTAATAGCTGTCGCGATCTATGAATGAATTTGCTCTTTAGTATTTGAAAATATGTTTGTGTAATTCTGGTAAATATAATTGTTAAAATGTCATTTTTGCATAATTTAGGACAATTTATCCATCGCACCCTGTATATAGGGATATAAATTATCACATATTGAGTGCTGATACGGATAAAATAGTGCTCGATGTATAATAACAGAGCTATCATTTGTATTCATAATAAATATACATTTTTTTCCGCGCCGGTAGCAGACCTTCAACTTCATGGACAACGCACACCAGCCTGTTCACCCCTTAAGCCGACAGAAATCACTTATTCCGGCTATACCAGCGTCACAGTTCCGATTACAACAGACGCCTTTCGTGTCTGCACGTAATAATATAAACGTGGCGACTGTGTAACAGTGTATTAAATAAGAGTAAATTTTCTATTCCTTCTCTCTCCAATCAATTTGATGTGTTAACATTTTCTGCTGTTAAAGCAGAATGGTTCGCCCGTAAAATCTCTTCAGATTCTACTCTTGACTTATCTGGAGTATCTTTGCCTGAATTTTCACTTATACCTGAGTCAATGTTAAATTATATGCATATAACTCCTTCTATGGTTTCTGTTATCATCTTTAATCTGGATCCCAACAAAGCAAGTGGCCCTGATGGTAACCCTGTAATAGTTCTTAGGAAATGCATTTCCGAACTGGCTCTTGTTCTCTCTAAATTTTACAATAAATGCCTCACTGCCACTTGCTTTTCTGTTTGTTGGTAATCCTCTTCTGTTGTTCCAGACTTTAAGAACCCAGGTGAACCGTCTGTCACTTCTAACTATCGGCTTATTAGCCTGCTACCTCTTTTTGGTAATCTACTAGAGTCCCTAATAAACTCTGAATTGGATAAGCATCTCACATTGCAGGGCTTTCTTTCAGATGCAGTATGGCTTTCGCTTCTCTAGGTCATAATATGTTAACGATTATTGCTAAAAGAGTTAAGTTTTAGATAAGATTGGTGAAGCTCTGGCTGTTGTTTAGGTCATCTGGAAAGCGTTCAAAAGGGTTTGGTATACCGGTCTTCTTCAAAAGTTGAAATGTTATGGTATCTCCGGATGACCTGCTTCAAATCTCGAAATGAAAGTTATCCTGAACGGCCACTCTTCTATATCTATTTGTACTAATGCAGGTGTTCCATCAAGGGTCTATCCTTGGAACTACTTTGTTCTTAATTTTCATCAATGACCTTGATGGCTTCAGTTCTCAACTTGATATCTATGATGATGACATAATCATTTACTCCTTTGTTGACAGTAATTCTGATCAGCTCGATATAGTCAAATTGGCAGCTGATCGCAAAAATGACCTACAGTCTATTGTTAAGAGGGACAAGGAATGACTCGCTAATTTTAACGCCTCAAAAACGAATTTACTCTCTATTAATCTATTAATCATCTGAGAGATTCTTGATAAAATCCAAAGAAGACTCAGCAATATTATTGGTCTTGTTCTGGCGTCCCAGCTTCCATCCCTTTCCCACTGGTGTAATGTAGTTTCCTGTTCCTTTTCTGTAAAGATTTTCATGGTAATTGTTCAGGTGAACTCTTCTCTATGGTACGTAGATTGTATGACTTTAAGCGAAGTACAAGATTTCATCAGTTTCAGTTGAATTGGCGAGAGATGTAACTGTAAGTTCTATGCTATTTATTTTATCGCACTTCTCGCTTGTGGCTCCATGCTTTCCAGCCAACTTTGGGCTTCAAAAATTCAAATGCAATGTCAGCCGTTATCTATTATCTCCCTGATTACTCTTCTATTGTTCTCGCTCCTTAATAATGTTTCTCTGTTTTCTGATTGTCTCGCACTCAGTAACCCCCTGTAGATTTACTGCCTTGCATGGGTTGATATGATTAACAAAAACAACTCAATTGTCAGGTACTGATTGAAAACCGACCGTTGCATAATTTAAAAGGTGGTATTTATAGCGTACTGTAATGATAGTGGAGCAGTTCATTTTATTTACAGGGGTGGGTAAAGTAAAGTAAAATACTAATATATGCACATATAAAAATACACATATACACACACTTACATACTTACATAACAATATATATATATATATATATATATATATATATATATATCGGTAGTATTACCCAAAACATTTGGCATGAAATATCAAGTAATGTTCGATGTTCCAGAAGGCCATCAATGTCAGACGTGTTTTCTTCTCTTCTTACTGTCTTCATATCTTTAGATTTACCTCTCAATATTTTAAACTTATTCTTTTTAACAAATGCCAACTTTTGCAAATAAATGCCTGCAGCTAAATTACTTGAAATTCTATTCCGCAACATTTCCCAATTACTTCTCTCCTCTCCTGATCACACACACACACACACACACACAGAGACACACACACACACACACACAGACACAGACACAGACACACACACACACACATATTTAGTTCAAATTGTTATTTTCTTTTTAAAGTTAACATGTTGGCGCAAACCGTCTGCCAACAGTTTAATTGTTTTCATTCCGATTAAACTTTTCTATCATTTATTTATTTTATTTGAAAGAACTTTGATTGGTCGACATTTCAGATGATGCTAAAACTTAAACGACCAATCAGATTGTGAGAATCAGAAGATTCTTTTCGTGTGGAAAGACAAAACAAACCAAGTGAAATGAGAAAATGTTTTAGATATCAATTTCTATGACAATATCTTCCTTTTTATCTGTGCTGAGACCTTCGAAACTATTCACATTCTACTATTTTGACAAAAGCTAATAGCAGGAAGCCAAAAAGAGGATATCCAAAATTATTTAAGCAAGAATTAGTCATGGTACGATTTGTATGATGAAACACTAGATGATTTGAATGATATGAATAGAACCCCTGTCCTTAAATGGGGAAAAATTTAATGTTAAAATGTTTTGTTTTTTGTTAAGCAATATAGTAAATTCTTTATCCTTGTTTGGTTTTATGCAAATTTATCAAAGTTTTATGAATATTTATTATTTAGTATTTTTATCGTAGAAATAGCAGAAAATATTCTTAAAAACTTTAGTATATTTGCATAAAAATAACTACGGATAAAGAATGTTATAGAAAAAGTGTTCATTATAGAAATAAAAGTATAATTTCTAACATTAGAAACCAAACAGTTTAACAACAATATTAACTTAATATTAATGTAAAATACTAATAAAATGTCTACAGGCCAAGGCTTTGAATTACTTCTGCATATCTACAACCAAAGAACTTCATTCTATATATGTAACTCTTTTTCTCTCTTACCTCTCTCTCTCTCTCTCTCTTTCTTTCTCTCTCCCTCTCTCTCGTTATATATATATTGAGAGAGTGACATGGACAGAGAAACAGAAAGAGAGAGTATTTGCTTTAACTAAAATAAATGGCAATATATGAATATATTACATTAGTATATATTATAGAACTTCAATAGATAGATAGATAGATAGATAGATAGATAGATAGATAGATAGATTTAGGCAAAGAACGGTCTATGTCACATGGCTCAGTACTTGAGACCGAACCACTACTGGTTTACAACTCTACATCTAAACCATAATTTTTTTTTCATTTGATGCTTTGCACTCTTTCATATTTATGGGCCTCGAGGTGGGTGCTTGCGAATTGCATCATTCCGATATTCTTACAAAGTAGCGTTGTTGGATAAAGGTTGCTAGACACCCTATTGCCTCTGGGTAAACTTTGTGTGCCATGTTTCTTGGGCTGTTTGTCTTTCTGACAACCACTTCCCTCAGCCTACCCGCTCCCAACTTTCCCTTATGTTTCTTAAACATCATATAGTCAACTGAGTTGTACTTTGAGAGTATATACGGTGCTTGATATATATATATATATATATATATATATATATATATATATATATATATATATATAGGGTGTCCATAAAGTTCGTGTGCACTTTAAAAAATTTATAACTTTATTTGTATTTGCGATAGAAATAATCTGTAAAAAATGTTATAAAGCTTAATGTACCTAGTTTTAAGTATAGCTAAAATAACTAATGTGATTTCAGGCATTACTGTAAATCAGTTGGCAAATGTTTTCCGTGAACTGCAAAATCGTATTACCCTTTGTATTGCTAATGATGGAGGACATGTGGAAACTTAAATAAAATTTCAATAAAACCTTAAAAAAATATCGATTTACTTCTTTCTAATCCTTTTTACAAATTATTTCTAGCGCTAATAAAAATAAAGTTATAAACGTTTAAAAGTGCATACAAACTTATGGACACTCTGTGTGTGTGTGTGTGTGTGTGTGTGTGTGTGTGTGTGTGTGTGTGTGTGTAAGACAAGCCTGACACAGAGTCAGTGAGTACATGGAACTTGACCGTCGATATCTTCTATGTGTGTGTGTAAATAATACGAATGTGCATCAATAAAAATGCTTATTGCGGAACGTTTAATATATGTGGTTAATATTCCCTACTGAATTAAGTGCAATTATGTTGAAAAGTAAATATTTATTTCTTTTCATCATTAGCCTGACGACTTATTAATATCCCTCGTGAACATTGTCCAGAGAAAAACAGAATTAAATCGAACAATGCAAGAAAACTTACACTCTTTAATATATTCCGTCTTACACAACAAATGAAAAAAAAAAAAGAAAAGATTTACTCTCCTTACATATGAGAAAGTCAGTGTTGTTTAAAAATAGTCTTATGCACTAAGCCAAATAAATGATGTAGTCCTTTAGTAGGCTTTCTGAGTAAACAACATGTATGTTTCTCCCATTAGGTGTCAGGATAAAAAGGTTGCGTGTGGATTCAAACATTGAATAATCAACAGAAAATTTTTGCTTTTTGCTCAGAGGAAATCAGAAATCTTCAGGGATTATCTGTAACATTTGCTGATAATAAAGTCAGTCTTTTATAAGATTATCATACAATCTACAGAATTTTCCTCGTCGACGTTATAAGGGGGCGATGTTTAATGAAACAATGCTAAGTGAGGACCTACTTTACTAAAGAAATTGTTTCATGTTTGTATTTCTCAAGTCAATACAAATGTGAGGATTAAAACAGTTTTCCTGAAATTTTGAAATAAATTATTTTTTATTCTCTCAGTTATTCGGACAGATAATCAGACTATTATCCTCATTGGTCCAATCACCACAGTTCAGCCGCTGTATTCTCCGGCCAATATCAGATGTGTGTCGCTTCCAATAATCGTTAATAAACTTTTAACGGAATAATTTCACTTGTTCACGAGTAAAACTGAAATAATTGTTGATACAATGGAGATAATGGATTGTGTCATATGTTACAAATTCTTGATCACTCCCGAACACACGTTGCATTTCATTTTATATCAAACGAAAGAGTTGGATTCAAAGGAAATGGAATGTCTCGAAGGACATCCTCCGTAATATTTCAATAAAATTATTTCTCCTTTAATGTAAATTTCTAATAAATCTCAAATTAAACTTGGCTGTGTTGTGCGCGAATGGAGATCTTCGTAAACCTACGAAAGGATGCCGAAATATTTTTAGTTTGGTCAAGAAAGGCTTTTTTTCATTCTGGTGTTTGGTTATTTGGTTAGAATTTGGGAAGAGAGTCGGGTTGATATCTTTCCAGCATCCCCTTGTAAATAGCTTCATATAAATAAGCACTATCATCTGGCCTAACTCTGTGTTTCATTTTTTTACACTCCCTCCTAAGGAGACTATTCAAAAAAACACCTGATAACAACTTTGACAACCTTTTCAGAGATAAAACTATTTTCAACTTGTTAAAGAATGGCGCTTGGCCGGAAATGATAAGCGAAAAACATTTACACGCATTTTATTTCCTTGCCACCCACAAAGACGTACAGCCTTGCAAAAACAAAAGAGTGAAGTCATAATCTGTCAACGCGCATCTGTTATAAATAATGTCTCTACATTATATTAATAATGGATACAATACATATTTACGGTGTTTCCAAGTGTGAGGCAACATTACATTCATTGGTCCATTAGGAAACCCATCGCCCTACGGCAAATGACCAGTAAGAGACACAATATTAAAATTATTCTATTTAACCAGATTCACTAAGGAAGGGTTAAAATAAGAATTCATCGAGGAAAATTTAATTTACAATGTTTAACTTTCCTCTACTATTACTTAATGACTCTAACTGATTTTGTTCTGTCAAGACTGGCAATAGACATAACAGTTATATAACACTACTCTAAAAGTAAGGTAATTCTAGCAGATAATTTGACAATTTACTTTTTGACAATTGACATTTTTTATTACCTGCTATCATGGCCTGCAAATGACAAGATGACTTACGATGGGACAGAGAACAGTTCGATCCATGCCTTTTACGACGATATCAAAATGAGAAAAGCAGTTTTAAATGTAATTCGAACCTGGATCGACAATTATCATTAAAAACCGTTCATTTCAATTCATACGTCCAGGATGAGTACTAAAAATTATTTTTTTAAATTAGTCTGACAAAAGTTCAAATATGGAACACCCAGTGAAGATTTCACTCACTACAGTCGTAATTACTTGGCTATTTCATTTATGATTTCATTATTATTTTATTTCCATTATTGATAATTACTAAGCATAATTTATCTGTATATAACTCGACTCTCCAAGTTTTTTGATTCACCACTGCTGTTTTGAACTCACAACTCTTTGGGTCTAATCACTGGATCTAACCAACGTCTTTACCACTGGGCCATACGTCCTTGAGGACATCTGTACATGAATTTCGGGGACTAATAAACTGCAATCGTTTTTACCAGTGTTCATACTAGAATTTTTCCGTTATTATTATTTCAAACAGTTGTGAGTTCAATACTAGGCTACAGCAGTGGTGAACCAAAAAACTTGGGGTTGAGTTAAAGGGAAGTAACTGAGACATCCGGAAGAGGCATGGCACGTGAAACTAGAATAATCTACCCCGGTGGAAGAAATAAAGGTTTCGGTTCGAAATTCTAATTACCTGAAGAAGACCGGAGTATACAGTGGTCGAAATGTTGTGAATATGGCAATGAAGATGGGGATAACTGTTCGAATGATGTAAATAATGTAAATAAGCATAATTTAATCTTGCACACGACGACGCTAGAAAAACACCGATTGCAAATCAAACAGATTAATCAAGTGTAAAATGATGTGTATTTTGAGACAAATTGAGACAATCAAGCGCTTATAATGCATTTGACCTTTACGAGGCGCCGCCGTACCGTAAAACTAGTCTTAATAAAAAGAAATTTCTATTTCCGTGAAGCTTGCAACCATATCACCTTGAAACACCCGTCCCCGTACAATCACCGAAGTTAAGCAACATTGAGTATGGTCAGTACCAGATGGGTGACCGCTTGGAAATACCAGGGGCTGTAAGCTTGGATGTTCAGGTGGTGTAATGAATAATGGCTCGGAATTGTTAATTGCAGTGCCAAATTCCAGTTCCAGTTGGGTTCGTTATATACACTTACGGGCAAATTCCCTTGGGAAAAGTATGAATCTATCTCTTCTCCCCCAGCTATGGGTTAATTATTAAGACTTGTATCACTAAACAATTATTATCTTCTAAATTAAAATGAAAAAAATTGCGTACATTTCGTCATTAATCCATAGAGGTTGGCGCTAAAGAAAAGCAACCTATCTTTCCGTGAAACACATGTAATCTTGAAGTGAATTCACTTATCACAAAGTGCTCAGTGAACTGTGGTCATGTGTCAAACAACTGATAAAATACTAAAAAAAAAGTCATAAATTTCTTGGGTTTAGTTTTTTTTTTAATTAATGACCGTCATAATATGATGTTAATAGCGAAAATGAGTCTGTAGTTAAGTTAATCCAAATGAAGTTTAATAATATCTTTCGTAATTCAAATGAGTTTAACTAGTCAATCAGAATATTTTCACACATTTATCTAATGTGATAATCTAATTCTGGGAAACTGATTTGTAGAAAGTGAAATCAACTCTTCTAACCAGAAAGCGAACGTCTTCTCTGCATCCTCAACCATAAACACATGTACAAGCATCTCTGCGTGGAGTGTTAAAAAAATAAACATGCCGTCTATTTTTACATGTTTCTTCCCTGGGGTCTCCGTGTAAAGCTCTTCAACGAGATTGTCAGAAGAACGAAAACAGGTGCAGACGAATAATGAGGCAAGCAAAACGGTGAGTGAATTCTGAGTGAATTGACGAGTGACAAATACAATCAGGTGCAACTAAGTTCCCCATTAAGACGGCCTTGTGCTAAACAAAAAGCTAAGCTTACTTAATTTTAAAACTGTTCCTAATATATAAAGATATACGTGGGTCACTCCGAAAGTAATGCCTTCTACTTTTGTACACACCTCCAGTTGTCGCTAAAAAGCAGCATAGCATGATGAAAAAAGGCCCCAAACTCAAAAGCAAAGTTTTATCGTCAACATGTTTATGCTTATTAGGAGGAAAAAACCAAAATATTTCTTTAAATTTTTTAGTCCTTTCTGTCACGTTTTAAATTTTGGTTAAAAATCTTGTTTTTTTGTTTTGTTTTGTTTTTTTTACGTCAGCGGTCGACTTAATATTTACGATTAGTATTTTAGCCATTTTTCCTCGGGTACAAAACTCATTGATTTGGAAATTCTTGCAAAAAGCAAATAATTGTCAGATTTTAATGAAGCTTTCAGAACTTATTCACAAATGAATTAAATTATTTTTTAAACTTTTTTTAGAAAAACATATACTCCTAATTACTTAATTTCACGAAATTTCGAGAAATTAAATTTCAATTTTGAATTTTTTTTATTATTTAAAAGCAGGACCCCTTGTAGAATGTAAATCAACCTTTTTTCCCGAAAATTGTAAAATAAAAAAATGAACAAAACTATGACATTAATTAGAAAGGTTTTTAATTGGTTTTACAAATAAGATTTATTAAGTACACTATTGTCTTTAAAAAAAAATTTCGATGAATAGTAAATTTTACAAGAATTGTTTTCATTTTTTTAATTTTAAAAATAATATTTTAAACCGTTTAGAAATTCTGCATTACTTTAATCCAGTTAGGTAATATTGTTATTAATTAAGTGAAAACTATATTTACGAATCAAAAATTGAAAAGCTTAATAAAAGTCGTTTTTCACTAAGATTTTGAAAATAATTTTTAAAAAATATTCCCATTTTTGTAATTATGGTAGTTCATACATGACATTATTATTAAAAGGTCACGTGTTTTAAGAATTGTCCTACATTTACTGATATTTTTATATATCTTTTATCATGATGGTTATGAAATGTTAAAGTTATTTTATTTATTAATTTTTTATATTATTTTAAATTTTATTAGTAATTACGTAATTGTTTACACTTTTATTATTTCAATCCAATACGGATTAAAATAATAAAAGTGTAAAAAATTACGTAATTAATAATAACATTTAAAGTACTATAAAAATTTGATAAATAAAATAACTTTAACATTTCATAAACATCATGATTAATAATAAAGAATAAAATGAAAAATAAGATATTAAACAATAGAAATAAAATAGCATAACATTTCATAAATTATTGATTTAATGTATCATGGTATTTCATTAATATCTCGGTTATTAAATTTTTAAGTTAATTAAGTTAAGAAAATTTTATTGCATTTTAAATTTTATTATTTTTTCAGAAAGCTTCTTCAAACGTAAGACTATAAAACTAAAGTAACTAAAATTCAATAAAATATTAGATAACTGCTGAAAATATTATGTTAATTTTTAATAATTACTAGGTAGTTAAAAAACAAAGCATTCACTTATATTTCATAAATTTCTGTCAATTCTGGTCAATCATACTTAGCTGTCAACACGTCAGGCTGTCAATACATCAATCAATACTTAAAAAACAAGACCCCGTGGTTAAGAAATGCTTGTATACTACATTTTATGTTATAAGTAAGTAATATTTGTTTCAAATTAGATTAATTTAACTTTACATTTGCTAATTTTTCCCATATAACTTGTCACAAATATATATTTTATTTTTGGAAGATTTTAAAACCAAGGATTAACTTTTGTTTAAAAATATGTCAAAATGTGACAAAATGGCTGATTGTAATCAATTTTCTGAAAGCGACTAAAAAGTTGTGATCCCAATCAATATAATTTCTATTTAAAATACACCAGCGTATTTTGCTTACAGGAAATGGTAAATATTATCAGTTAGCTTTCAATTAAAACTGAAAAGAAGCTCTAAGAATGCTTTTTCATTTTTAAAAATTCATTTTAAAACTTAAGTATCGAAAATTTAATGAAGGTCACTATTAAATTAGGCTATGACATCAGAGGCGGATGTTTTTAGCATGGCAGTAGAGGGTGAACCTTTCTTCCAATAACTAATTTTTTTGTTTACCTTGTAACAGGAAGCAGCTCGGCAGCAGACTGGAAAAATAATATCTGACGTAAAGTCCATACGAAGTGTAGATGTGTTATTGAATTCTTCTATGTTGAAAAAAATATGCCCATTTAAATTCATTGATACATTCCATGCGTTTACAGAGACAAAACATGGATTTGAGCACAGTTAAGTGAGTGAGATATGTTTAACAAGTTAGGCCCTAGTAGCTAATGGTAGGGAATATGTAAGAATAAAGTGTTTTATAGTTAACATTTTGCTCTATTTTTGTTCTATTCAGTGCTGCAATCGGGCTTCCTTTTGCTTCAATGGAAACCCCCACGTCCTTGTGTCACACCTTGCTACTGTGAAGAGGCGATTAAATAACGCTTCGAGGGAAATAAATAGGTGGCATTACACAAATACATCGACTAGATATAGAGATGGATATTTATGTCGTGATGAATATAATAGACATTTATTAATTTACTTATTACTAAGAGTAAGGCTGTGTTGCGCCAGCCTTAGAGTGAGCATGCCTGAAAACCAGTATCAGAAATTTGACCTAATTCAGAACCGCGGTCCTTTTTAAAATAATTTGGGTGAACTACTTCATTTGGGTGGATTATTTCTACTTAGATGAGAACTGAATGGCCCACCCACCTCAGATAATGAAATAAAGACCAAACAGATGAAAACTCTCAGATATAAAGAGAATTGAACTCAAGCTGAAAAACACGAGCTACTTCTTACAATCTCAAACTCTTCAACACAGATAAGAGGCAATTCCAAATTGTGAGGATGAAGTGCTTATCAGATAATTTCTTAGATGATCTGTTTTATCCACAAGCATTGTTCTTTACAAGATGTTTGATGATGATAATATGGCTTCTTAAAAATACACAACCCATGTCCAGAAAAACATAGAAATTAGTTATAAAAAGAAGAGATAATTCATCATGCACATTATTAATTATTTATATAAATGGATGTATAATTATTTATAATTCCTATTAATTACTCATATATATATATATATATATATATATATATATATATATATATATATATATATATATATATTAAAGTATCCAAGTATGTTGAACCCATTTTTATTAGACTCTAATAAAAATGACCTTTACGACTGAATAATGATTGGGTACTCCATTGTTTTCGGCTTTGTGTCACATCTAATTTACGCTTAGAAAGAGGGCACTTCGATGTGGTGTTAGTAAGTTTGTCTCGCTAGAACAATTACGACTGCGTATTAAGTTTCGATCCTCATTGGATATTCCATACTTTCGTCCTTGTGCCACATCTAAGATCTTTCTTTTTATGTGCCATGTCCTTTCAGGACGTAGGCGATCATGACTCCCCACCTCCCTCTATCCCTTGCAGCTCTAAGCAAGTTCCTTCCCTCTGATTCCTCCTCCAGACCACGTTCTGTCATTCACTTGCTAAAGTCCGCCTGGTATGTCACGCGTTGTTTTCCTTTGTCTCTCTTTCCCTCTATTCGCCCCGTGGGTATCAGATTTTCCAGGCCCTCCTTCCTCATTATGTGTCCCAGAAACTTCAGCTGCCTCTTCCTGATGTTAAGTATAAGCCTCCTCCTTATTTGCATCCTCTCTAAGACTTCATCGTTGCTCACACGCTCGGTCCATGATATCATCAGCATACTTCTGTAGAACCACATCTTTGTCTCTCGAGTCTCTTCCTCATCTTTGAGGAAATCGTCCAACATTCGCTGCTGTAAATAAGGATAGATTTCACGTAACAGCTCAGTATTCTTTTCTTCGTTACCAAAGAAATCCTCCTGCCTCGCAATACGCTGCCCAGCTTTTGGAATGCGTCCTTGGCCATTCGAATACGTCTACGGATCTCAGTGTCGCATTTACCGTCCTCTGACAAAACGCTTCCCAGATATTTTAACTTCCGCGTCTGCTTGATTCTAGTGTTCCCGACCTGCAAATCGCATTTCGGGCTCTTCTTCTTACTGATGACCCTGCATTTTGTCTTCTTGTACTTTATGCTTAGTCCCTTCTTCTCACTCTCCGTCGCTTCTGTAGGAGATTTTGTAGTTTCTTTTCCGTGTCTGCTATCAGTACTGTGTCATCTGCGTATCTCATGTTGTCGAGATTGTGGCCGCCAACGCTAAATCCCGGTAGTGTTTCCAACTCTCTCAGAATTGCCTCGCTGTACAGGTTGAACAGATCGGGTTAGAAGACGCATCCTTGGCTTACGCCCCTTTCTATTTTTGTATATTCACTGAACTCGTTCCCTATGCGCATGCTGCCAGTATAGGTTCTTGATTATTCTGATATCTTTCCCGAATATGTCAAGGTCGCTGAGCAGTTCTATCAGATCCTTGTGGCGTACTTTGTCGAAGGGTTTTGCATAGTCTATAAAACAGGTACACGTCCTTCTACATCTGTATCGCTCTTTCTGATAACATTCTGAGCATAAATATCGCGTACCTTGTTCCGATGTCTTTAACGAACCCGCACTGTTCTTGTCCTATCTCTGGCTTGATTCTGCTCTGTTCATCAGTATACGGATGATGAATTTTGTCACGTGGCTCATTAGGTTTATTGTTCGGTGGAGTTCGTATTCGTTTGCCCTAGGCATAACTATGAAGATAGATCTGTTGAGGTCTTCCGGTATGTTCCTGCTGTTGTAAATTGTATTTGTTATTTCGGTGATCTTGTTTATGCCAAAGTCATCTAAGGCTGTTAGCATTTCCGTTACAATTCCGTCTGGCCCAACTGCCTTGTTTTTTGTTCTGTTTGACCAGTGCGGCTTATATTTCGGTTTTCAAAATTTCAGCTCCGTCTGTAGTTCTGTGCATTGTTGGTTCTTCCCTTTCGTCGTGGAAAAGATCTTCAATAAACTCGCCCCAGCGTCTAAGAAACGCTTAGAAAATCACCATGGCACTGCAACCTGGTGTAATGTTTAGAAAGTTTGTCTCGCTAGATCATTTATGATTAAATAATGAGTTCGATCCTCACTGGGTGCCCCATACTTTCGGCCTTGTGCTACATCTAAGTTATGCTTACAAAATCACCATACGTAATGTAATGTTACGAAGCTTGCGTCAAATGTTAAGTTTCTCAGTTCTCTTTCAGATATTACCGAAGAAGTGATAGCTTCTAATGTGACACAGCAAATAAAAAGAAACATCGTGTTTACGGTGTTAATAACTAACTAGAATGCAGCAGGGATAATGAGCTTCCTTAAAATGTTCAGGCGAACGTCAGTTCATACCACGTTACTTCTTTCTGCAAGGCATTGTAATCAATGCCACAACGGAGCAGCAGCGGGATTCTACGTATGACCCACGTGACCCTTGACTACTTAAAGCCTTATAATGTCACTTTCGAATCTGACACAAGAAATGTAAAAGCTCACCATGTTTGTGGAACGAGACGCCAACTACAGCGACTCAGTGATAGCCAACTTCTTGAAAGTGGCCACGTCTTATAGGTCCCTGCTCAGGACATTCCATCCATAGCCGAGAGAATATATCTTAAAATTCAGATGTCATAAAAATATTTTAGTTCTTTCAGCAGGTTCGAGGTATCATAAATCGATGAGGGCTATCGCCAAGCAACTTAACGTAGCGAAGTCTGCTATTTGACTTTTGGTTCTTGGAGAAACCAAGTACAAATCTTATATGTTGTGAAGATGGTTCTGTTTTTTCTCCGACAAGAACTTCGTCCAAGACCAGCAGGTGAACAGGATTAACGACAGGTGGCTCATGGTGTGAAGAAATTATTCCTTGAAGGAAAGTTATTCGGTAAAAGAAGCAAAGGTCGATAGCAAAATTGCTGGCTTGATAATGTCTATTTAATGACTGGACTTGACCTTTACTCTTTGAACTCTGCTGTTGGTGATCGAACTTTGTGGAAAATAATATCTCATGTTGATGCACAATCTGCAACAAGCGGAGTAAGCGACTGATGATGTCTCTTCGCGTACGCTGTAGCACCTACCCTTTAGATATAACCACTTTGATGTACACCAAGTTCACGTCGCTTGTCATGGTTCTGAGGCGTCTGAGCAGCGAGGACCATGTCATGCTGCTCCATTTCTTCTCTAGTTCATTTGGATCAATACCAACGCCTACATCGAGCTGCTAAACTTGTTGATCAGTCACTGGATAGTTGAGGAGGGCCGTTTGACTTTGCTTCTTCTCACGTGACACAAGTGACCCAAGCGCGGCTGGTTAAGGATTTTTATGATCATATTACACAATATGTGACTTCCTATATCTACTGATTTGAATCTCAACGACTCCTACATCGTGGCTATATAAGAAAAGGACTCGTTGAAAGTCGCCCTCCTGAACGTAAAAGTCAACATGAAGGGAACCACCTGATCTGAACCTATTGTCGCTTACGAAGTCCCATTAAGGCTTTCCTTGCATCTGACGGCGGTTTTGTTGAGTAAATAGATGATAATTACAAAATCTTTAGAAATAAATAATTACATTCATCATTTACAACCATATCATTATTTGAACAATTAAAAATTAATCGCCAAAGTTCTTTATAAATTACGTAATTATTTATGCAAATCAATATTTTTACAAAATACCTGATTCCTTTCTGAAAATGCCAAAAATTTCCAGTTTTCCATAATCTTAAAATTGTAGGATGAATTTTGAAAACTTGTAGAATAATCAGAATTTCGCCTCTAAGCCTTTTAAAATGTATTTAAATTTACTCTGACTTCTCAAATTGAAATTTTGAATGCCTTCTTACATTAACTTTTCGAGAATATTTTTCTAAATGAAATTTACACATTCTTCATAAATGTATTTATTTTTCAACCTGTGGCACAAATGTCCTCGGGAAACAACAAGGAATAATGAAATGAAATAAATTTTGAAGTTTGATAAAGACATAAAACGTACTGAAGATTCGAAACTATGGTTTACTAATATAACTGACTAAAGTGCACTAGCACCTTCCACTCACCACCTATTTCTCTGGGATCCGATCAGGATGACAAATGTGTTTGCAAGTATGCTTCATGTGTTTCTCTACCGACATGAAAATTACTAGCATTTAGAAAAGGTTATCGACGAGTAATAATGGATGACCATAAAAACATTGAAAATTTTATTTTGCTTAAGTGGTATTTGTTCTCATGTATGATAGGAAAATTGAAAGACTTATGACAGGGAAACTACTGATAAAAGCAGATTGATGAGAAAAAAGATCCTGTCCTTTATATGGCCCCAGAATATTTTGGGAGAGTGGAGGACAATGAGCTGTGAGCTGTGGATTTGGGATTAATAATCACCGTTGCCAATCTATTCAGATCCACCGGTCAGCTAAATTATAATTTCCTTCCGGGATTCTTGGAGAAGATATTGATCCCTGTTAATGTAAAAATAAAATCTGAGGAAAGGAAGAAGAGAAAATATGAAGAGAGAAAAGGAAAAAACAAATAAAGAAGAGAAATGAAGAAGAGAAGGATATTTCTTTCATTTTCAAGTATTTTACTGAGAAATTGAATTTGTGTATGGTGGGAAAGCACCTGATGGAATGTAGAATTAGTTATAAAACAATAAAATTCCTAAAAGAAATTAATGCTGAAAAGGTATCGATTCGGCCAAAAAACTCTTCCACAAAATTCTGTTTAGCCATTTCGTAAGATTTTCAAAATTGAATTGGATAGAGAACTTTTCACACACGTGCGCGCACACGCACTCATGCGCGCGCGCACACACACATACACACATATACACACACACGTGTGTAACGGGTTCTTATATAAATTAATTATTGTTAGAAAGAATGACTCATAATCGATCTCTCTTGTTTTTTCAAAAGTTATCCAACAAAGAAATGATGTAGGAGATTACTGCTGAATGCAAGAAAATTGAGGTTCATGCCTCTTACATTACTCAAAATTGACACAACAGCAGGCAACTTTTTGTTGCTCTTATCATGAAGCCGCTTCACATTTATCTTTTCATTTGAATAGCCAACTAGATAAACAAAATCTCGGAGTCCGTTGCGTTTTGTAAATGAATTGAATATATTTGGCCTTGCAGACCCTCCCATTTCTCACTGACACCTGAACAGTTCTTTAATCCCAAAGTGGTATTCAAACCCAGAAAGGAGAATAGCCATTGCTACAAATACACATCTTCAGTTCTTTGGGTGAGGATTTCTTGCAAACTGTTAAACGGTTAACGGGTTCAACAGATTTTCAAAAACTCTTCTTATTCCCTAGTCGTCAATATCATAAACTCACTGAACACTAAATGAGTTTTTGATGTCGGCAGTTAGGCGAGAAGAACCAACTAAAAATGAATAAAATGCCAGTGGGTAAATTGAGAAATAAGAAATTTGGAAAACTGATCGTGGTAAATAATTCTTATAAGACAAAAAATAGAGTTCGTATGCTGATACTTACCTAAAGGCCGTCTGTTTATTAGCTTCAAAGAGAAAATAATAAATATTTCAACTTCTTAACGGCTGCGATAAAATAACCAGATAGATAGATAGATAGATAGATAACGAAGCACTTTACACTTGAATGATTGCCTGAGAATGTAGATCCAGAGATTCGGCCCAAATAACTTCACAGAAGGGTAAAAAAACTATTTTCGCCATATTTTATCTTGCGAAAATGTATGACTGAGTGACGTGTACTGTATGAAGAATCTTTCGCTGTTGAAAAAAATTGTTGCGAAATCTTTAGTGCATAATCTTTTACTGTGAGCTTTATCCGCTCTCCCAGACGTCCGGATAAAGAATTCAACGAAGCTTGAAAGAAGTAAAGAGATAAGAATAACTTTTCTTGATTCTGGCATGAATTATACACTTCAAACAGATTCTTTGAAGCGAAAAGATTTTAAATTTGAGGCCCAGGAAAAGATAGATTTATGCAAGATAATTTTCAAGCGAAGAAATAAGGTATTAAAATCAGAGTGGAATAGAAAGTTGTTGGCCCTGACACACAAAAAATTCTAAAATCTTTTTATGGTTAGATACAAGATTATATTTTGGGTTGATTTTCTGTAAACCTTAGGATTCGGTCCAAGAATGAATTACGTTGTGTTTTTTTTTTTTTTTTTAGAGTTGGCAGCGCTATTGTTCAAGTTTTGCGTAAGTCTGAAGGTAAAAGGTATTGTAGAATATACGTTGAGTTCATAATGGAAGCAGATACCCAAGATGGCCGCATACAAGATTATGAATTTCGTAAAAGTTATCAGAAATAGAAGATACTTGTAAAAGTTACAATGACATTCTAAAGTGAAAATAAGCGTTGGGCTGTCAAAAAGACGATAGAAAGAGAAAACAAAAAAAATAAATGCTTGAGAATTTGCAAAAGAATGTGAAAAGAAAATAAATACAACGTACAAACATTAACCCTTTTGTGCTTATCAAATTTAAACCAATTATTAATATATATATATATATATATATATATATATATATATATATATATATATATATATATATATACAAAATAAATATTTTGTGTCGAGAGGAGATGAGATTACAGAAAACGAAAGGTCAACTCTTGAGAAAAGATGTGGTAGACAAACCATGTTCGGTTGAGTGAAAGAAATTGAAAGAATCAAGAAAGCATTTTAGACAGATTTAGTAAGGTGACTGTGTACGTCGTACAAGAGGCAGCAAACGATGTTCAAATACACGTAAAAAGCTAGATTTCAATTGCTGATTTTCAAGATATTTCTGAGGTTCACGCAGACTTGTGGTGTCGAATACATCATTTTGGCTCGTCCATTCTTCGGCTTTCCTTGTATGTGAAATTAAAATAACTGGTCAAAGGAATTTATGTTGGGTGGAGGAAGTGGAGAGAAAGAGTGAGAAGGAAAGAGAGAAACAAGAGGAAGAGGGAAGGAGTAGAGAGAGAGATCAAGATGTACGTATATAGAGAGAAGGCGAGAGGGTGATAGAAGAGGAAAAATGGACAGGGGATAGAAGGAAAGGTGTAGAGAAAGAAGAAGAAAAGAAGAACTCAAATAAAGCGAGAGTAGAAAACGAACAGAGGAAGAAAGATATTTTCATATGAATACATGTGAAAGAGAAATCTAAAAAGGCAAGAAAGAAAGAAAGAAAGAAAGAAAGAAAGAAAGAAAGAAAGAAAAAATCTCCGGTGGGAGAGTTAATGTGAGAAATGTTTTTAAAATGCACGAAATGGCTTCATTTTTATCCTGACATTTGCAACGGAAAAACTTGCTTATCTTTCAAGTCCTTTGTTGATGACTGTCAGTGGAAAAAAATGCTTGCCTCTTCAAAATCATGGAGAAAGGCCAAAATGGTTCCAAGTACATTTTTACACATTCATGTACGAGTAATCCTAGTCCAACACAAGGTCAAATATAGAAAATAGATTTAGGAAGAGAGTGTTGCGCCAGTCTTTCAGCTAAGTATGACTAATATTAGAAAATTAGACTTTACCTGGGCTCGAGCATTGACAACTGGGAATTACGTACCTGCTTCATCATAATCCAATTTCTGCAACATCACACTTTACATGTGGCCACCTAACTCCCCAGACTTGATTATTATGTGTGGGGTGCGGTTGAGCAAGAGACCAACAAAACACCTTGTAACTTCAAAGATGAACTGCAGGCAAAGATTATGACAGCATTCACCAACTTAAACAAGAAGAACATCCAGCAGAGTTGCAGGAGATTCCAAAGTCGACTTGAGGCCATGTTTGAAGACAATGGTGATTTCATTGTATAAATTTGCTCTTTAGTATTTCAAGATATAATCATACCGTCTGCTAGTCAGGCGTTTCTTTGACTTTTTGTGAAAAATTTTATGTTCAAAATCCGAAAAGAACTTAACGTTCTATAGATTTGCTTTTTGGTTCTTCGTTATTCAAACAGAAAATACTGCAGAATATTTTGTAGTTAATTCCAAATAAAAAAGGAAATGTCTGATATTCAAAAGTGTATCTTTTATTCATTTTTTTTTCTTCTTACTTCTTTAGATTAATGCGCAGGTACAAAGATATAGAAAAGGATAGATAGATAGATAGATAGATAGATAGATAGATAGATAGATAGATAGATCATCAATACGATTGGGTATTGAAAAGTTATCGGTTCGACCAAGATGTCCTTAAAAACATCAGAAAAAGGAATGATGTTCGGCCAAAACTTGGAAAGTGGGTTGGGCCGAGAACTTTTCGGAATACCCTTGTATTATAATGACATTAGGAGTTTGTTACCCTAACACAGCGAAAACGGAACATCGTAACGAAAATGATGTTTGTGTAATATCGTTAAAATGCCCTAATTTGGATAATAAATCAATTTCTATTTCAATTTGCTAATTATTCATTCACAATGACCCGATTCTAACAATCCAATTTATGTGGGGATGTGTGTTTTTTATAGTCCACTTCAAAAATCTTTTGTTTTTGTTGTTCACCGAAGACATTTGGGTTTAAGATCAAAAGATGAATATGAGACAAGAGTTCAGAATTTCAACTCTTATTTACCCACCCATTTTTCAAATGAGCAAAACTATTGAAACTCGTGACTGACAGGTGTTTCTACTTTCCCAAGTGTTACCTTTTAGATTGATTGTTTAAACATTAAATAGAAAGAATGGCTACTATTGGTTTCAGCCTTGGGTTTCACCTGTAAAGACTGCATTTCTTTTTTTAAAAGGATAAACCAACATAGAGCTTTCTATGGAAGAAAAGCAAACCATTTTGAAGCTGAGAAAAAGAGGAAAATCTATCAGAACCATTCGACAAATATTAAGCATAACCAGCAATTTGGAATGTCGTGAAAAAGAAAGAAATTACTGGTATTCTGAGCAACAGATATAGAACAAAATCATTGTGAAAGCTGAGAGGAAAAAAACCAAAGCAAGAGTCAGTGACATCACGAGCAACCTCCAAAGTCAATGAGTAAAGGTTTCACAATTAAGAGCAGAAATATAGAGAACTTACTTCAAGATGAGACCAAGATTAATCTTTACCAAAGTGATGGAAAGGCCAAAATGTGGAGAAAGAAAGGATCTGCTTATGATCCAAAACATACAAGCTCATCTGGGAAACATCCTAGAAGCAGTGCCTTGGTTTGGGGTTGCAGGGTTGCTTCTGGAACAGACTCATTTATTTATTTACTGAAGACGTAATTCATAATGGGAGCAGAAGAATGAATTCAGAAGTCTACAGAAACATTTTGTCTGACAATTTACAGCAAAAGGCATCCAAACTAATTAGGAGAGAGTTTTTTATGCAGCAGGACAATGATCCAAAACATACTGCCAACACAACAAAAGACTTCATCAGGGGAAAAGTGAACAGTTTTAGACTGTCAATCAGACCATAATACAATAGAGCATTCATTTCGTCTCCTGAAGAGGAGAGTGAAGGAAGAAACCTCCCGAAAAAATAAGAACTGAAAGAGGGTTCATAAAAAATCTGGAAAAGCAACACAAATGAAGAATGCAACAGTTTGGTGACGTCAATAAGTCACAGGCTTGATGCAGCTATTGCAAGCAAAGGTTATGCAACCAAATATTAAATGTCATTTACTTTAAGACTGTCTATTTACTATTGCTCACCTAAAAATGCGGTGATCTGACATAAACTGTCGTATTTTCTAAGATGTTTAACTGATCTAAATGTAAAAACCAGGAAATAAAAGCTGAAATTCTTAACTCTTGTCTCATATTCATCTTTTGATCTCAAACCAAAATGTCTTTAGTGAACAACAAAAACTATATATATATATATATATATAAGTGGACATTAAAGTCAACACCTAAAAGCAACAGTCTGTTTCGTGTAAACCATGGCCATGGCTTGAAGATTGCGTTTAAGCAAGAAACAGACTGTCGCCCGGTTGGGTGTTGGCCTCAATGTCCATTTTTATATTTGCATACGTTCTATGCCTGATATTGAGGACTTTAGCATACCTTAAAACTATATTTTATCATATATATATGTGAGTGTGTGTGTCTAAATTATTTACTGTCTATATGTGTGCGTCGAGTGATTGTATGTTTTTAGGTTGAAGAAGATCTGTAAGATGAAAATTTAGCATTAATTTTAATGTAAATTTCAATATACCGATCTTGCCGATTCCTTCAACGTCATGAGCAGAAGAAAAATTTTACTGTAAATAAAAGTCACTTGACATTTACGTTATACTCGTCTGTTTATTGTGTCATGGGGTCTTGGTGAAATTTGATAATCTCAGTCAAAATCTCGTATGACGAATGCTGAATTAACATCAACAAAATGTTTTGTTGTAACTTAAGTGAATTTGTTAAAATAATCGCAAATTCGATTATGGCCGCGGAAATTTAGAACGAAATATATATCCATTTAGTAGATAGCATGGTTTGGGTTAATTTTGAAATTCGAGCCTTACCAATTTTTGAATTTTTCTCTTTGACTTATGGATTTTATTTTTTAAATAAGATAGCTTGTCTAACTGATGGCAAAAATGTTCATTAAAAATTTTGTAGCGCCGTTCTTTCAAACGTCTCCACATTCGTTACATGTGGTCAAAAATCTGGTAAGTATTCATATTTGTCAGTTTTATTTTATGCTAAGAACACAACAATCGAAAAAGCAAACAAACCTCTATATATATTTATTTTATAATATTTTTCTGTTTTTATGTTTGCTATAACCTCTTAAAGAAGTACTTTTAATGAAAAGGAATATCATCACTTGACTTCTTCACGTGTAACGCCTTCGATAACCTTCAATTCCTTTCTATTGCGTCGAGTGATGTATTCGTTTTCATCAAATTATTTCTATCATATCCATCTTCTTTCCTCATTGTATGAATAATACTAACAGCTAGTTTTAAAAATTTAGACAGATATTTTCTTCAGATGAATCGTGATATTCACATTGCAGTGGTTCACCTTAATCTCTGTTTCAATGATTACACGGTCCAATCCAGAAATAACTATTTCAATGGATTTATTTCATAGCGTAGGATGATGCTGACAATTCGAATATAACAAAGAGAAGCAAGAAAATGCTTCCTTTAGATGAAAAGGTGAAAGTTCTCAATAAGGAAATAAAAAAAATCCTATGCTGAGGTTGCTAAGATCTCCAATAAAAACGAATCTTCTATCCATCACATATTTTTTTTATTACAGTTTATTTTGTTAGAATTGTTCTATTTTATTATTAGTTCTTGTTGTTAATCTCGTATTCGGCCTAATTAATAAAATTAAGTTTCATGATTGTTATGTATAAAAAACAGTATATATAGTGTTCGCAACGAACCGGTGTTTCCATCATACGCAATAAAAGTCTTGGAACATATCACTTGCGACTAAAGGGGAAAACTACTGTAATTCTTGGACAGTTCTACTGACCGAGTGGATTTATGTGACGTTCGGAAAATTTTCTCAAGTCTTCGGAAATACACACTTTTATTGCGCTGGAGGGTGTCGTCAGTGATGTAATTACTCAGGTCATTGGGTAGTTCGAGCCTTACAGCATCATACCATCCTCGCTGAGTCGACCCCGTCAGAGCTGATCAGGCTCCGACGCACCCTCCTTCTGTATCACGCTATGCGACACTGATTTTTATAATTGTCTTAGCCGACTTGTACTCGATACTAGCAGGATACACATAGGGAAAGTCCATAGCGCTCAGGTAAGTTGGGTTATTCAAGAAGTCAGAAGGAAGAAATTTTTGTTAATCTGTTGCTAGTTTTTAAGTTTATATATTAAAAACAGCGATAATAATATGCCCCATCCAGAATGACTGTAGGTTAACCGATTAAAATAAATGTACTTATAAAAATTTGAGTATAATAAACTACATCTATATGCGTTTATACAAGTTTTCCGGTTTACAGTTGAAATGCCACTATTAAATTATCCCAAGAACCACCCTCAAGAAGAAGGAAAAAAAAAACTTTTTTTTCCTGTATTATAATTTAATATGACTTTCGGTCTAAAATTATGTCCAAGACAGTAATTCCCTAATCTCTTGAAAAAATGAGTTTTTGCGAAAACTTAGAACCACGAAAAAAAAATTACTTATATAAAGGTCTCCATCATTCTATTGTCGTCCAAGAGGCGGTCTGGAACTCTTAAATGCAATTCTTGAAAAATAAATAATAACATCGTTTCTTGTAAGTCATATTGGGAAATTTATTTGCAGATGTTTTTCTGAAAAATATGAAATGATTCGACTTTTACATGAGAAGATGCGATATTTCAAAATTTGATAAATGTCAAAATACTCATTTAAGCAGAGTGGAGTTGAGTGAAAAGTACTTGACGACTGCATTGTATTCATTTGACGATTTACAGCTTTGAACATTTAGTTAACGGGAGAAGGCCAAGATGTACTGTTCCATTTTGGAACAGTGGTTAAGTGTTTTTAGATTAATACATGACATTTTTCGAGGTTCGTTTAACAGTTATGTTGCTTGACAAGTTGAATTTATTTAAGAAAGATTCTATGAATTCCAGATTTTATAGCCATGCGTCTCCTGAGGGTGATATGTAGATAACATAAGTGAATATTAATAGTAGATAAAATTACATAATATGATATTTGACTCCAACTATATTACGGGGTGCGTCCGTCATTTGTATGGCGTAATTTCGAGTCAGGACTAAGCGTAAAGATAGAGTAAGCAGAATCGTTTCCAGATGGTCCATTAGTAAAAAAAATTGTCTATCATGCATCGGGTAATTAGGATTCAGTTAATTGTAAAACTTTAATAGGAAAAACATACTAAACAATAATGCAAGATTCGTGAATCTCTACTTGTGCTAATATATTAATTCATGACTAAACCATTTCTTGTCGTGATAGGTATCCATTAGACTTTTACTTAATATACAAGTACAAAGAGGTAAAGAAATAGAAGCAAGAGTCTACTGAAACAAAAACATGGCTGATGTACCCTTATTGTTTCTATTAAGTCAGCGTTCTCGCAACAAGAAGAGTCTTTTTTCTTGTACAAATTTAGGATGTTTCAGGGCAGTGGGCTTTCCAACCTTCTTGGTTTGTTTTCATATTAGGTCTACCAAAGCCTGTTTATAGTGCCATAAAGCGTCAGTTGAAAT